GTATATGAATGTCTCATTCTTTTCTGTACGTTTGAAGTGTTTCATAACTAACAGTAAAAATATTAAAATGAAAGATAAAAGTGTATATTTATCCTCTTTTGCCTACATCTCTTAAATTCTAAATTATAAATCACTATATTCATGAAGGCAGAGAGATGACAAAAAAGAAAAACAAATGAAGACTTTCCATTCTGTATCTTAGATGAATAAATTCAGTTAAACACTATCTTAATAGTACTTTTTTTAAAAAACCCTTCATTTTTCATCTTTTTTGTGGTAGTTTTTTGGCATTTTTACTTTCTGTTTCCAATTCTCTTTTATAGAATCACATATTTTTAATGAAATGAAATATTATTTCAGCCAAAGTAGTATTCTAATGTGTATTGATATTAGGTGTAAATAAAAGAAAGATTTTCTGTTTCCTCTCTCAAATGTCTGCAGTACTCTGCCTAAGCTGTTTCTATGCAATGCTGTGAATTTCTATCAAAAATACCTCTGTGTGTCTCTTCTGTTTTTCTGTGCAAAGGTTTCTCAGGTCCCAGGTCACTATTCTCTGGACTGGCACAGTAATAGGTGAGGTTTGCAGGAGAGGAAATACTTGCTTCTTATGCTGAGTATCAGGAAGAAAGGTCTGTTTTGGCTTTGTGGCGTGGGTTTGACTCTCAGCCTTTAGTACTTGGATCACACCCTGTCTCCGGTGGTTACTGTGGAGCGGATTGTTTCAAATGAACAAGGCAGGGTGGTCTTGAGACCCCTTTCCTCTTGACTCGTTTCAAAAAGCACCAATAGGAGCTTCTTTTCTGGCCTTCAGGAGGAGTGGGTTGGGCAAAGTCACTGGGCAAAGAAGATTGTCCTGGGATCCCTGGCTCAGGATATCCCAGAGTTTTGATGGCTTGCTGCAGGAATGCTATCTTTCCCTTCCCTGGTTTGGCACACGAGGCGGGAAATACCCTGTGAATTCACCTGCAAGGGTGGATTTACTGAGTTTTCAGACTCACCCAATTCTGTATTCTTAATGCTCACCCAATTTCTGCATTCCTCAGGGGTTTGGGCTACAAATCCCTAAGAACCAGAAGTTAAACATCTTCTTTCCATGTTCCTGTCTAGGATGAGGCATGGACGGTTTTTTGCAACCCAGGTGTGCAACTCTGGCTGTCTCCAGTGCCCTCTCCTAGCCTGAGCGCCACTTGAACAGGGTGTTCGTGTCTTTAGGTTCTGTATGGGAGCTCTGAAAGGAGTGTGTTTGATCTCACCAGATATTATATCACTTCTGTCCTTGCTTGTACAGCCATCCTAAGGTTGTCTGCGAAATTATACCATTTTCTTAGAAATGGAAAATGAAGTTCTCACAAAACACCATCGCTTTCCTCTCCCATTTCCTGTGTTAATTACCCATGCAGCATCCTTACTGTGCTTTAGAGACATTGGGAATGTCTGAGGGGTAACTGGAAAGGACCGTGGGTGAAGGAACCCCTCCTTCCTCTTCTTACTTAACTATTCTTACTATAAAACCCTTTTCCTGTTATCCTCCAGTCCCCACCACATAGCTTGATAAGAACCCATTTCCATTCCAGGGAAGTGAATTTGAAATAGCATGCTTATTCATTTTGGAAGCTCCTTTAACTATTCTTTCCATTCACCCCCCGCCCCCCGCATCTCCCAGCACTTATCCCAGTGTCTGTCACATAGCAAGTACTTAATAAATGCGGGCATAAGACACCCATTTAGTCGAATCCCCATTGCTATATAATGAGTGCATCTTCTTGGTGCTTTTTGAGAATTCACAAGATAGACTGGTTTTGGTTAAGCTCTGTGTCATTCAAAAGACATATGGCCATACTTTATTACTTTTGAATATTTATTTGCATCAGAAAAAAATTTTAATTGCTTTATAGCAATGGCCATCTTTGATTTTTATTGTGTTTTTTTCTCTTGGTTTATTTCAATAACTCACCAAATTTTACGATTTCTTTCTTCAAAATATTTATCTCCACCCCTTCCTCTTCATTCCTATATCTGCCTCATGGGAGGCATGAATCATTTCATTTCAGAATATTGTTCTGATAATCTGTTGGGTCTCCATTCATTTCTCCCTATTTCACAATGAATACCTCCACAAGGCCAGTTTAGATCTCCCAACATCAATGAGATGCTTAGAAATGGTCAGTGTCAGTCCATCTGCCTTTGGAATAAATCCAATTTTAAGATTCTTTTCTTCACAAGAAACTCTATTATAAACTCGTGTACCAGCCAGCTCCATCCTGCCATCCTTCAGGAGTATTCCCACTGTGCAATGGGGCCATTGATGTGTAATTTCAGCAGGTCCTGACTGAGAGCTCTCTCATAAAAGTGGTGTGGCCTTTTTTTCAGGCCCGGGAGGATACCCACCTACTAGCAGCTTGGATCCCTGGTGGAAACACATTCCATGACTGAACACATACCTAGGGTACTGTAGTTTTAGGACTTGGGAGAGAATATTATTTTCAACTTCCAGCTGCCCAAGACTGACATGACCCAGGGTGAGCAAAGCAGCATTTATTTATTCAGCCTGCAGAGAAGCAGCCTGTGCCCTTTTCTGAAGACTGTGAAGCTGGTGCTTGGAACCAGCTCTGCAGAAGGAGGACCAAGCTCTGAATCACATTCTTTGGGGTCCACCACAGGGATGTTCATCTGAAATTGTTCTTTTCAATCAATGTTGAGGGAGTTTATAAAAAGCATTCTAGTAAAACTTGTAGTTACTTTAAAGATATTGTTGAGGACATTATCCAAGATATTATTCAATATTTTCTTTGAGAGAATTTTTCTCTGGATTCATTGGACTTCTGCTCCACTGTGAATCCAGCTAATTTTGAGGCCCTTTTACAGCAAATATTTTCAACATGGCTTCACTCTAGGTTTCATCTTATTGTTTTCCACCCTTTATCCAAGTCCCTCCGATCTTACCTATTTTGACTTTGATCCTATAGTGTATGTTATAAAAGAGTATAAATTCACATATAATTAAGTTTATAGTTAAAACCATAAATATGTGTATAAAAACATAACACAAAATTATTTCTAGATGCTATACTTTATGGAAATGTATAGAAGGAGAATTTTTAAATATTCAACTTTATTTTCAGAAGCACTTGTAATAATGGCGTAAAATATGAGGAAAAGAAAAAAATTATTTTATTTTTAAGGTAGGGTTTATTGTGATATTTGCATATATGCACATAGTGTAGTTTGATCCGATTAGCCATCTTTATTACTCTTTCTCTCCTCCCTTTTGGTTTTACAATGTGTTTCATTGCTCTGGAAAATAAATTTTATTAGAATATATTTATTGTACAAGAGGGATTCATTGTGACAATTCCAAATAGGCTTATATTGCACATTGGTTAGATCATTCTCTCTTCTCTTCCCCTTGACCCTCTTCTTGCCCTACTTAAAGCAATTGCAGGAGGTTTCTTTGTTCTATACCATATAATTGTATGAAGTCCATCCACCATATACCCTCACCTTAATCGCCTTCATTCACCCTCCCCTGCTCACAAGTCCCCATACCCACACTCCATCTTGTCTTGTCTTTCATTATTAATATCTAAGTCAATGTTCAAAGGGGTTTCTCAATGTTTCCTTGCTGTGAGTCTTTTACTTTGGTCTGTTCAGCCCCTTCCATTGCTCTCCCTTACCCCTTTACCTCCCAACCCCCATTTTTTAATAGCTTTCAGTACATATCCTTATTTCCTCCACTTTCACAGATGTTATATTTTATATTGTTGATGCTCTATCATTCTCTTTTCTTTTTCCCTCCTTCCCCGAGTTCCATAGAGTAGTTCCACTGTTACAAACATGTTCTACATATGAGATTGTATATGATCATGTTTGTTTTTGTGTATATGTTTATCTTTTCGAACTATCTTCCTTGTATAAGAGAAAACATGTGGCCTTTGTCTTTCTGAGCCTGGCTTACTTCACTTAACATGTTTTCCTCTGGAAAACAAATTTTTAATAGAGACAAATATGAAAATGGCTGATAGATTGAACAGTTGGGGGATTCCACTGATCTAGTTTCTTATACACATATTCACTCTTTGTGTAGACATTTAGTTGAGGGTAGACCCTGAGATCAGGCTCTGTGCGAGGTCACATTGCAACTGGTCTCTTGGCACTATTTAATTTCAATCACAAAGCACTATGGTATTCTAATGACGAAGTAATTTCTGATTTTAAAATTTATTTACATTTTTTATTTTCTTGTTTTGTTCAAAGGAAATATTTATAATTCAAAATAAATTCTTCTCTAACCCAAAGTAAGCACAGAGGAAAACTTTAAAGTGATAAGGAGCAGACATAAATAATAAAAATGGAAATTTAGCAAAAGTTTCTGAGTACTCTTAGAAAAGAGAAGAAGCTTGCAGGGCTTTAAAGCCTGCCAGAAGCAAGGAGATATTATACTCTGCCCCTCACCAGCCCTCATGGTGCCAACAGAAACTGCTAGAGAAACTAGTAAGATGTGGGAATTTATTGGCAAAAAGATACCTGAGAAGTGGGCACAGAGCTTAGTAGTGAGATAATAGGAATTTCATCCAAGATTTCTAATCTGACTACTCCATATCACCCCTGGTGGCAGAAAATGAATATCGCAGGGGCAATCACAGCTCAAAATAAAGTTATAAACTTCCCAAGTAGTGTTGGGATTGCCAGAGAGTTGTAATGATGTGACATTGTGGTCAGAATTCTCAGGAAACGCATTATGGGACAATATGGCCCTTGTATCTATCCTCAGTTGTTTGTCAGGCGTTTGGTTGATGCACAGTTTGCATATATAGATATTGAATCTGTTTCACAATGTGTAATGTTCACCTCTTCTGTTGCTGCTTCTCTCTCTCTCTCTCTCTTTCTAACACAAAGAAATTAGAAAATAAATTAGTTTTTTGGCTATAAGCATTTCTGAGAATATATGATCTGCCTAGGTTTTCATGTGGGTTTTAATTGCCTATTTTTTAATTTCACAGTGTGTGGACAATATACGATGTAATGGTTTAATGACTATAGTGTTTGAAGAGAATTCCAAAGTTACTGTGCCACATATGATTAAGTAAGTGCAACAGTCCTTTCCCTTACATTTTAATCAAGATCAAAATGGCAGAGAATGTAAAAATCTCAAATAAAATATTGCTTCAGTAGGATTCTGCTTCTTATTGAGAATATGTTTCTTGACAGTCATGCAATAATTCACATTGTGCCATTGTAAATAATAAGGCTATCAAATTGTTCTCCAGATTCACAGTTTATTTTATTGACTCATAATATAAAAAAATTATTTTTCATACTGTTAACATTCATTTAGGACAAAACCCTTATCAAAATGTTCCAGTTCAATATGAAAGCTTGAAGTAGTGACAGCCAGATCTGTTCAAGGTCAGGGGATGGACGAGCTGTGGCTGACTTACTTGGCATCCCCTAGCTGGTGTGAATTCGGTTTCCCAGCTTTGGCTGGAGAGATATGCTTAGATTTTGAACACACCTAGTAAATTGAATCAACTGTCTTGGCTGTGGTACCTTCTGCCCACTGTCTGTATCTGATTTGACCCAGAGACTGTCTTCTTAGGGCTGCCATCCTCATCTATAAATGTCCCAATGAAGTAAATCCTATAGCTTAAAGGGATTGCTAGGGAAGCTATAGCTTAAAATGAGAAGTTCTATCAGTAACTGTGTGCTAGAGCTCTCTGTGTTAATGCTCGTGTCTATATATACTATTTTCTTTTCAAATTAAGAAACTGTTTGGGGAGTGCTTCAAAGTGGACCAAATTGTTCCTTACTCTCATTTTTTTGGTTATTTGCATTCTCAATTTCAAGAGTCAAGTGCATTTTAAAAAACAATTCAGCTGTTTCTTTTAAACAAAAGTTACTTGAAACTAAGAACATGTTTCTTTCATGCCTCCTCATCTATAAAATGTGGATATTTTGAGATGTGAACTATTTATGCTGAGACAATAAATAATGTTAACTTTAGAAGGATGACTTTGCTCTTCTGAAACATTAACTACAGTTATCATGATCTGAATGCTATGAGTTGTAGAACTTAGATTAAGACAGGGCTTATAATAGTAGAGAAATATAATTTATAAAACAATGATAGTACTTTAAATTATTAGTCAAAATTTAAAATATTTTGGCAAGGACCATTTTAAAACTCTAGAGCAAAGATTTCTTTCTCTTTTTTTGTCAGTATTGGGGCTTGAACTCAAGGCCTAATGCTTGCTAGACAGGTGCTCTACCACTTGAGCCACTCCATCAGCCTCAAAAGATTTCTTTTCTATTCTATTTTCCAGGCTTTTAATCTAGTATTATAAAAATCTATGATGCTAAGATTAAGTATGAGTATTGAATAGGAAGTTAGAAGGCCTATAGTATGGCTAATTTGTTTGAATTCTCATCATTGAATTTCCTTCATTGAATTAGAATTTCCTTAATTTTTAACATGGGATTCTTATTTTAACGTTTCACAAACACACGCATGCATACACACCACATACACATGATTTCATTCTTTTAGACGTAGTGTTTGGTCGTTATACAGCCATGACAGGCCAACTGCTTTGGAGTTACAGTGTGTGTCAGACAGTGCAGCTGTGTTAGAAGCCCCTGAGCCAGGACAGCTGCACAATCAGTCCACACACATCATGCTGACTTTCAAAGGTAACACAAATGAGAACTAGTTTTATGTCTGGTCATTTGTGGCTACTGTCCCTTATCATCCCAATTTTACCAGTGTACTAGTCCAATTTATTTGCATAACCACTTTCCTACAGAGCAAAACTTTTCTGTCTTTGGGTGCACAGAGGAGACACCAAATGAGTGGAAACTACTGTCCTTCTAGGACAGGAATCTGTTTCTTGGGCTGTAGGAGTTTTCTTTTTTTTAACATTAAGACATCTAAACTATACTAGATTTATTCCTAAGACTGAGTAGAGGTCTTACATTTCTCCTTTTTAGTTCTCTCAGCCTCCCTGAGCCTGGCTCTCTTCAATCACAAGAAAGAGGATGATTTTGCCAACTCTATCCACCCTAAACTCTCCATCTCTCCTTCCCTGTGCATCTGTCTCCATGGCTACATGCATGGGGGAGGTGGGTGGAAGCCACAGTGTTTGGAGTTAAAAGAAAAAAATGTCCTGTCATAATTATGTCTTGTTATGGACATGATATCACTTTGTAGCACTCACTTTCTTTTATACCTTATCAATTACAACAGATGATTTGGTTTTGATCTCCTATAATTGCTTTTTATCTGTTTACCTGAAAGGAGCTGCTATTATCACAGGAGGCTTAAACAACACTTTCTGTCTTTCTTGAGAATCCCTTAGGAAATAAAGTAAGATCTTATTCAGTGTAATAAAAGAAAATTAAGTAATTTCATAATATTTAATTTCTTTTCTTAAAATGAAAATGCAATCACAATTTTGAAGGACAGTGGTATAATTATTTTAATTTCATTTCATGCTGGCTTAGACATGATTTTTTTCCCCCTAGTGTTTTGAACAAACTAATTATAATCAAAAGATGCAAAGCTCAAAACTACAATTAGAATGCAAAATCATGACGACCATTAGGTGAAAATATCCCTTTCAAGGTATCTGGGTTATGGCTTTCTTTCTTTTAATATTTGACCTCTACTTAGAAAATGAAGATTTTTGGTGGAAAACAATGAGAGAAAAAGTAATTCATTCGGCCATTTTGGAATGGATTTAGAGTCAGATCTTTATTTTATTTTATTTTTTTTGAGGGTCACATAGTGAGTAGAGGAAAGAGCCACACTATTTTCCAGAATCTCCAAAGATGTGCTGTGTATTCCCAAAATCAATAATGTGACTAGAGCTAACAAGCAGCCACCCTTTTTCAGGTCCTCTGCAGGGGTAGACTGGTCGTTTAAAATGCTCGTTCAGGCTGCAATTGAACTACTTCTTCTTGAACTGAGCATACATTGAGCTGGAAAGCTTCCAACAGCAAGCTAACAAACCTATTGATTCCTTTTTATCCAAAAGAAAATAAATATATAATGTCAAATCCCTTGTAGTGCTAAAAGGACTATGTAAGAGCTCTCACAACAAGCCAACTGGTTCTAACAAGCAGTTGGCTCGCTGACAGTCACTGATCCTGTGGATATCCTTTATTGAAGTGGTGAAATCCAGGACTTTGTTGGTTGCTTGTTGTGATGCTTCAGTGAAGGGATCAGGGATCTTAGAAGGAAGCGCAGGCTACCAGCAGTTCTAGTGGTCCACCTGAAGAGGCTGTCAGGGGAACAGCCCTGTAGTGAGGGGTGGTAAGCAGCCAGATGAGAGATTTTGCACAATGATAAAAGTAGAGCTTTCCAGGATGGTGGTGGTAGGTACTGTGGAGGGGACCATATTTCATCTACAACTATTTTTAATAAGTTCATTTTCAATACTGCAGAATATTGAACACATAACAAAAATACAGCATATCAATTTACCAGTTAAATTGCATTCAGGAAATATAAACACATTAATAAGTCAAGAAGAATGAATTAAAAACATTCAATTCAGGAAGTTAGGAAAAAGAATGAGAAACTGCACTGTAGAAAGGTATAGGAAGGAAACAATTGAGATAAGAGCAGATATTAAGGAGTTAAAATGTAAAAAACACAGTAGACTTGGAAAACAGCTGGTTCTGGAGGACAAAATACTGAATTGCATACTATATGTTAATCATTAGATAACAGTTAGAGCTGTGTCTTTTCCTCCCCAGTGTGGGTGGTTGTCACTGCTTTTTAAGCACACATCTGATATTCTGCTTTAAGGGCATAAGAAATGCCTTTTCTTCCTCCAGAAGTGGACTTTTGGTCTCATTGTCTTAATGTGATTGAAGTACACAGTCCACACAGGGGAATGAGTTATTATGACGCCTTCCACATCAATCCTGTCCTTCCTTCCTTAGAGTGGCGTACTGACGTGTAATGTTCTCAAACACACTTGAGTTTTATAGCACTCTGGTATCAACATATCAATATGCACTTCTCTCCATCTATCAAATGCAATGGGAAACCCACACACTCAGTTTACTTTTACAAATGCTGAAGGGCTCAGTGACAGAGGGGGAATCCTGGTCCCAGTTTAGGTTAATGCATTCCTGCCTTGCATGTAGGTCTGATGCCCGTCTACATAAAGATGACATTGACATTTGCTTCAGTAAAACCCTCAACTCCTGCAAAGTGCCCCAGATCCGCTATGCCAGCGTGGAGCGCCTCTTGGAGCGGCTGACCGACCTGCGGTTTCTGAGCATCGATTTCCTGAACACCTTCCTGCACACCTACCGCATTTTCACCACAGCCACTGTAGTGCTGTCGAAGCTCTCTGACATCTACAAGAGGCCTTTCACCTCCATCCCCGTCAGGTATGTGGGATTTGCCCTCCTGGGTCTCCATGCAGATGTCAGCCTTGCCTCTCAGGCAGGCTAAGGTATTGGTTCACCTTTGAACTTACCATGCCCCACTAGGGGAAGTGTTAGGGACGGTCACAGAGTTTCCCAGGGAAGGAATTGAAGTCTCCAAGTGGCCTTTGATAGCTCAGTGATTATTCAAAAGCTAACTCAATTGTTTTAAGCTTTTCTTTTCTTTTTTTTTTGGGGGGGCAATTGTGCTTTTCAAAGTTAATATTTGTAAGAATCATGGGGTTGGGGAGTGTCTTGTTAAATTGGTCTGGATGGAACCTAAGTTCTGTATGTCTGTCAGGGTCCCCCAGAGACATTAGTGCTACTGGTCCTTAAGGGAACACAGCCTAGTTGCAAGGAATTAGACAATGCCCAAAGAGTGTGTGTCTTCCTCTGGCAAGTGCAGTATGCATGTGGCACTTAGATGGAGGAAAATCTAGTAGAAGTGTGATAGTATTGTGATCTTTTAATGTAGGGAGCATGTTCTCTGAGACACTGTCTTTGCTTAGTCACTTGATACAATCGTTTAACAATGTTTGCTCTTATTTTTAGGTCATTAGAGCTATTTTTTGCTACCAGTCAGAACAACAGAGGTGAACATTTGGTGGATGGAAAATCCCCGCGTCTGTGTCGCAAGTTCTCTTCCCCACCACCACTGGCAGTGTCCAGAACGTCCTCCCCAGTGAGGGCCAGAAAGCTGTCTCTGACTTCCCCCTTGAACTCAAGGATGGGAGCCCTGGACCTGACCACGTCTTCCTCTTCCAGCAGTCCTACCACCATTCACAGCCCAGCTGCGTCCCCACCACCACACTCCGGTAAGATACCACTGGGTCCTAGCAGAGGCCTCTGTCCTCCAGAGCAAAGCCTGGGGTCTGTAGGAGAAAATGTAGATAACCCCTAGCTGGGTCTGTGTAACAAGCAGAAGTGAAAACGGTGATCACACCCCGCATTGCTGGCACCTGCTTCCCCACCATTCCTTCTGGAACCCTAACTCCCTTTCTTTACAAAAGCTCTCCTACCTCTGTGTAAAGTAGGATGGATACAATGGCTAGTTAGAACATTCCTGTAGCTTCTCCAGTCCTTGGAGAACAGAACAGAGTTAGTTGTCCTCAACCCATACAGTCACTGGCTGGCTGTAATCAGCTTTCTATTGAAGGGATGGCATATCAGGATGGTATAACAGGAGGGTTCTTAGAATTGGGTTAAGGCTGGTTGGCTGAAGTGCCTACCACATCAAGGAAGGTTGTTTCTCCACTTCCATTGTCTTCCCTAAGTACCTGTGTTGCTTTCCTTTCCCTGGTAAGGATGACCTTGCCTGGAAGCACTGAAATGTGCTTCCGTATTACACGAGAGGTATAGGGAGAAAAGTCAAAGCAAAGACTTAATTGTCTGCGACACCACCAAAATGTTTTTTTTATTATTTTGTTTTTATTTTTGTGGCATGAGGGTTTGAACTCAATGCCTCATGCTTGCTAGGCAGGCACTCTACCATTTGAGTCACTCCACTAGCCCAAAAACATTTTTTTAAGCGTGGATGAAATAATTTGTTTCCTGCTTATGTTCTGTTACGAGTTCTATCACACATAAAATAAAGTACATTCTCATCTCCCAAGGCCTTCAGATCTTGAGACCTGGATGCTGGCTTCCTCTCCACTCCCTCCTCTTGCACATTCCCTCATCTGCTAGGCTACAGTCATATTTATTTACAATTTATGCCTCAGAAACAACCTTGTATGTTCCTGCTGCACGGTCTTTATACTTGTTCTTTTTCTGCCTAGTCAGACTTTCCCCATGGAAGCTCTGAAGATCAACTTAAATCACAGTCTTTTCTATACCCTCAGTACCTTGGCCAATGCATGGCAAGGAGTAAACTTTTGTGACTGAGCCAGGGCTGGTGACTCATGCCTGTAATACCAGTTACTCAGGAAGCAGAGAGGATTGTGGTTTGAGGCCACCCTGGGCAAAAATGTTAGACCCCCATCTCAACAAACAGGCTGGGTGTGATGGTGCATGTCTATGGTCTCAGCTCTGGGAAGCAGAGATGATTGATCTCTGATGCTGGCCCCAAGCAAAAAGCTTGAGACCTTACCTGAAAAAAAAAAAAAAAACTACTGCAAAAAGGGGTGGGGATGTGGCTCAAATGATGGAGGCCTGCTTAGCAAGCGTGAAGCCCTGAGTTTAAACCCTAGTACCACCAAAACAACAACAACACAAATTTGTGTTGAATGAAAGTAAAACACTGGCTTAACTAATGGAGTCCACTGGTGCATCACCTGGTCTTCCTCAGCATGGTGTTGTGGGGGCTGAAGAGGGTGATGTTTGTTGCTTTTAAAATCTAGTGTTTCTATGAAGAACAGAAGCACAGTTTCACAGGCAAATTAACAGAGCTTTTTTCGCTGTGTAATAACTGATTTATTTATTATTGATAATGTAAAACTTGGGCAGTAAATCCAAGTGTGCAAATTTCAAGGAGGATCATCCAGATGGAAGACAGACTCTTGCCTTTCTATCTTCCTGAACCTTCCATGTTCTGTCTCTTTTAGATCATTTAAATAGGCTTGCTGAGTGAAGTACTTAATGGAATTTTAACTGGAGTGGTTGTCATCATCAAAAGTAGCACTCTTTTTAACAAGAAATCCTTTAAATTGACAAGTTAGCAACTAAGGAGGAGGAAAGGGGGAAGGCAATTAAAAAGTCATTAGAACAACAAGCTTCAGCAAAATCCTGTTGAATTCTTCTCAGGAATAAGGAGCCCTCGTGCAGCCTGACAACTGCAGCTGGGGTTCCATCCACAGGACATTTGGAGGGTGTGGGAGGCTCTTTCTCCTCCTCTATTGATTGTGGTAAATAGAGAATCATCTGGATTCTCATGTTCTTCGGAGTTAGAACAGCTTTAGGAACAAGCATTTCGCTGCCAGACCTTAGCAGCCCCAAGTCTGCTGTCCCACACATGGAGTCACGGAGGGAGCCTCTTCTTGGTTCAGGGCATAGTGTGTGCTCCAGAGTCCCTGATGGTAGCACACAATAAGATGCTGCCTGGTCCCTCCAATTCTAGTTATGTGTATAAAATAGACACAACTGTAAGGGCAGGTGGTCCACGAGGGGTAGACAGAGTGCTTTGGAAACTGACAAGCATGGGACGCCATGCCTGGTGAGCAGAAGCCGGAAGTATCTAATACAAGTGAGTTGGAGAAAGGAGAGGCCAAATTCTGGGCACGGAGAAAGGCTGAGCACAGGGCTGGTGGTAAGCCTTGGTGGTGGCTGTTATTTCTGAAAGCCAGAGACAGTGTTGTTTCTTGAAGGGGCAGCTTTTGTCCTGTTTTGGCACCATGGGCAGCCCTGGAGAGCAGACCCTAGACCAGGCATTTTAGGACTTTCTATCATTGAATAAAACTTAAAACCACAAAAATGCTTCTAATTTTTTTCCTCTTCTTGTTCTTTTTACTATCTTAACCATTTTTAAGTTAGGAGAGCTCAGTAGTTCGGTACATTCAAACAGATCACCAGACTTATACCCATTAAACAAAACTTCATTTCTTCCTCTCCTAGGCCCTGGCAACCACCATTCTCCTGTTTGCTTTTCTGAGTCTAACTACTTTAAGTACCTCATAAAAGTGGAATCACACAGCATTTGACACTTTGTGGCTAGATTATTTCATGTATGTTGTAGCATGGGATAGGATTTTCTTCATTTTTAAGGTTGAATGGTCCGTTGTATGTGTATGGCACATTTTCTTTATCTGATTGTCAGAGGACATTTGAGTCACTGCTGCCTCTTGACTGTCGTGTATAATGCTGCAAAAGAAATGAGATGCAGGCATCTCTTCAATATCTCAGTTTCAATTCTATCTATCATCTATCATCTATCTATCTATCCTTCTATCTATCTATCCTTCTATCTACCTGTCTACATTTACCTGTCCACAGTACAATAGTTGGATCACATGATAGTTCTATTTTTCAGTTATTGATGACTATCCATGTTGTTTTGTGTTGTGACTGTAACATTTTGCATTCCCATCAACGGTGCACAGGGTTCCACGTGCTCACCATCACTTGTTATTTGGGGGTGTTTCTTAAGCACTGACCATTCTAATGGGTGTGAGGTGGGAATCTTTCTTCTTTTTTTCCCTTTTTTATAATTTCCACCAGTTGTATTTTAGTTTGGCTAAGCCCTCGTGGTTGGATATTATTATTATTGTTGTTGTCAGGGACTGTACTAGGGTTTGAACTTAGGACCTTGCACTTGCTAGGCAGGTGCTCTGTCTCTTCAGCCATGCTCCCAGCCCCTTTTTTGCTTTAGATATTTTTCAGGTAGAGCCTTGTGCCTTTTGCCTGGCTTTGGATCACAATCCTCCTACCTATACCACTGCACATAACTAAATTACAGCTATGTACCACCATGCCTGGCTTGTTTGTTGAGATGGGATCTTGCTAAGTTTTTTTTTTCATTTTTCTTTTATTATTCATATGTGCATACAAGGCTTGGTTCATTTCTCCCCCTGCCCCCACCCCCTCCCTTACCACCCACTCCGCCCCCTCCCTCTCCCCTCGATCTTGCTAAGTTTTTAGCTAGACTGCCCTCAAACCATGATCCTCCTACTGTCTGCCTCCTGAATAGCTGAGATTACAGTCATGTACCACCATGCCTGGCCCTAATTTCTTTTAATGCATTTATTTTCCATTTTATCCCTAAAAACATGTAAGGTGGTACTTCAAAGAGGCACATAGTATAACTGGATTAAAAATAAAATAGGTAAGGAAATCAGGAAATGGGAAGAAAAGGAGAAAAGTTGTGTGAGAACAGGGGTATGGAATACTGTGTGGTGCTCTGCAGCTCCTAGAGTCCCCCTGAGTTTAGTTCTCAGCTGACAGAATAAAGACAGGAATGTAATCAACCACATGATCCATACTGAAAGCTAGGAATCAGTTGGTTGTGTGGGTACATCTTTTTTGACTATTGAGACTCCATAAAGAAATCCCTGGAGATAAAAATCTTAGAATTTAGACTGGGACTTTTCACATTTTTCTCAATAGGTAAAACAAAAGAGTCATAGACTTAGTATTTTCCTTTACTCTGCATTGGTGTATGGGCAGTATTGGTCAAGAATAGATTTAGGGAAGTAATGGGTGCACACTTCCAGCATCAGTCTAAAAGTTCAATGGGCATGTGTGTGCGTGTGCTTGAGGTGTCTGTGGAAGCCAGGACTCCTGCCCTGTGAACCCTATTGTCTAGTCTTGAAGATTCCAATTGGCAAACAAAAAGGAGATGCTGATCTGTCTTTAATTTGAAAGATATTTGCATGTGCTTTGCATAATGTTAACAGTTAAAACAGTTGGCACACTTGAATATGCATCCTATGCCAAGAGTTCACACACTTCTGCTTTTCTCTTATGGATACAACCCCACATGCTCTCATTGTGTAATATCAGTTTTACCCATGACATCCATTCTGAGACCAAAGCTTGGTCTCTCACTGCTTTCCATGCTTTCCACCTAAACAATTTCAGAGCCTGCTCTTTGAAAAATGCTGGTGACCTTTGTACAATTTTGTGTCATTGCAACGATAATGACAGTTTTGCAATATTTTCTGGCAAGAGAATTTCAAATGGAGTGAAAGGAAAGAAGAAAAATAGGAAATATCTTGAAAATGAGCCAGGCAATGAATTTTTACAGAAAAAATGATGTTACTTAATTTCCTCCCAGTCTAATCCCAAAACATGTCCCAGGATCACCCAACAATCACTCTCTTCTATAAGCCAGACCCTACCTTCCTCTACCCCAGATGTTTCTACAAATCAAGTATCAGTCTGACTCCATGATGGGTTCTCAATGAAAACCTGATCAGTGGCAAATAAGAAAAGAAACCTAAAGAGTCACTTGTTGTATGGGGCCCTTTACCCAATCAGTGTTCACTCAGACCACAGCTGTACAACTTAGCCCTCTAAGTGTGGCTGCCTAATGTCTGCTTCTGGGTTTTTAGTTTGAAAATTGCCTGCCTGTGGGCTGAAAGTGCTCCTGATTTTAGCATTTGTTTTGAGCCCACATCTGCCCACTCCTCCTGCAGACAAAGCTGTTGCATGGAGTTTGATTGAAAGTGAACAAGCCAGAAGGAAATGGTTCCCCTGCCCCAACACGCTGGCATGATTTCTTCTCTCTGCAGGTAACCTAGTAGTGTTATTTTTGCTTTCCTACCGTCTAGGAGCATTTGGGATCCTGTTATTCCCTCCATGGGAGGTTTTTTTGGGTTCAACATCTTGCTGACTAAAGATTTTCTCATTTGCCTCAGACAACTGAAAGAATGGACATGCATTTGATATTCTGCTCACTCTTACAGAGCAGATGCCTTCCATTACAAAGTTCTGAAGGAGCTATTTAGAAAATAATAAAACTAACAGCTCAGCAATGATTTTTTTGTCTGAATCTAGCATCATTGCCAGTTTTACTGTAATTATGTCATTCAAGGAAAGATTCTGTTTCCCTGCTCCAACTCTTTTGAGTTTCAGATCAAAATTATGGCCTTATTTCTGAAGGAGTAAATTACATACAAGTATAAAAATGGTTTTATGGGAAGTCATTATGGACTTTATAAAGTTTGTTGACTGAAATCTTGAATGCAATGAAAGGGAAGTAGTCCAGTTGACCAGGGTAATGTAAAGTTAGAGGAAGTGACACAGGTTTTTATCAATGGGTGTCAACAAAAAAGCATAAGAAAGAAATGGAAGAATTTTATAAATGTCCATTTATAAATTTTTGTTAATATTTTCCCTTGGAAGAACATACACAAAGTCATAGTTTCTCCTGGTTAAGAAACCAGTGGAAGGGGTTTAGAGGTGTCATTAGCAATATCTCATATCTGTGACCCCAGAAAGAATGAAGACCCACATCTTCATTCTGAGATGTTAGCTAGCGTGAAGAGCCTTCAATTATCTTAAACTCTCTCAACAGTCCATTAAATTTTTTTTCACTTCCTTCCTGCTGATCTGTGGTTCTAACTCAGAGCTACCCAGTAGAACTTTCGGGGAGGATGGAATTGTCCTGCATAGGCGCTTTCCAGTATTGTAGTCCCTGGCCACAGGTAGCTACTAAGCACTGAATGTGTTAGTGCAAGCCAAGAACTGAAATATACTTTCAGTTAATATAAATATAAACTTGCTAGCCACATGTCATTAGTGCTGCCATCTTGGATGGTACAACTCTAGATCCCAAAGAGCCCCCAAAGTTTCCTGGGGTGGAGGGCACATTGGCAGAGATTCAAACCTTGGTTGCCTTAAAAAGGCAGCCCAAACGAAGAAGTCATGAAGTTCTGGTCTTGGTGCCAATCTGGTTTGCAATCTGAAAAAGTCCCTCTTTTTACCCTCCAAGGAAGCCAACATTGTGGAGAGCAGGGCATCCACTACACACCCCCTGGTCTTTTTAACTCTGCTGTTGCATTAGCTAAAAGGGCCTGACCGAATGCAGCTGGGTCAGTCAGGATCAACTGATCGTAATCACAGGTAGAGAAACTCTATATTTGGATTTAGTGTCATTAGCATTCTGTTGGGAGAAATGACTTGATGTCATACTAAAGTCCTTTAAACATGTGAATTAACACGAGATGCTTATTATTGGTAGTGGACTTCTGCATTTCTGTTATGATATAACAAGAAGCTCTTGAACTCAGGGCCTGGTTGTTAACTGTTCTGCTGTTTTCCAGCAGCAGCAGTGCTGGAGTCTGTACCAGCAGATCGAGCAGGAGTGGAAAACCCCCCGGCAGTGGACACCACAGAGCTGTCACCTTGCAGGTCTCCCTCAACTCCCCGGCACCTCCGCTATCGCCAGCCTGGAGGTAAGAACTCAGAAAAGAACTCAAATAGAAAAGCAATCTCTGGTTTCTTAGCCCTTCCTTTGCTTACTGTTTCACTCCCCAAATACCTTTTAGTCTCAGTTATAAAAATTAACTGTATAATAAGGTACAATAATGTGATACATTATTTGGAAAAACTAATGATTAGAGAACAAGTTGCCCAGTTGGTACTCATTTGGTTTCTGGTCATTGCATTGCATTTTGTGCAGAACAATGTGAATAAAAGGACCTGTCCTTAGATGATGGCTGGCTAAAGAGTTTCAGTGCCAACTGCCAAGATATGGCTAGATTCTGATGTCACATGTATTGTCCTTATGAACAGGCTCACCTAGACACCACACTTGGGGGGAAGGAGCTTATTTATTTCATGTAAAATGAGGTCTAGTTGGATTGGGCCTATCATTATTGCTAGTGGCAGAAGCTGGTATGTTTTCTCAATGTAAACTTATGAAAATTGTAAAGTACAATCCCATAATTTGTTTTGAAACACAACAAATGTCCGTTAATTGGAGGAAAAACAATCAGTGCAAGAGGTAGAAATCTTTTATCTTCCCATTGTTGCCCTTATTGCTCAAATAAATGTATTCAAATAAAAGGTATTTTGAAATATTTCCTTTTTTTTTCTTCCGAAACCAATTATTTCAAGTCACAGAGAAAGTTTCACAAGTATGAAACCAGACTCACCCCAAGTAATCCAAGTAAAATGTAAAGGCAGATTGTCATACTCAGGCTCAAGTAGGGCATTTTGGCAAAAAATAAAGCGCCTGGCTCCAAATGGCCACTTTAATTGTGGTCTTAGCCACTTGGCAGAAGCTGTTGTCATTAGCCCTTGGCTCAAAAGAGCAGCTAGAAAGGTTTGAGTTAGGTTATTTTATTTATCTATTTTTTAAATAAGATTTGCTTTGACAGATACTAACCCTGAGGGCTTTCAGGTACCTGGTCAGTTGTGGATCACCCTGACATTTGGGTGGTTCTAATAAATGAAGGTGACAAGCTAGACTGCTGGCTTATCCCAGGACTACTATGGAATCAGCCACATCTCACTACTGTTTTTAGTGCCTTGGTCAATCCAGGGCCTGGCAACTTCCTTGACCATTGCCACAAAGACCTGTGGGTTCATTGGTGTCTGGAAGAGTTTGGGAACAAAGGCAATGGAAGCAAGATGCCACCAAAGTGAGAGTTAAACACTGTTTACTCTATTGCTTTCATGAGAGTTCTGTTTTATATTCTCTTTTCATATGTTTATATTCACATATAAAAGTATTATTAATTTATTTGAGGATTATTTGGAAATCCTTGTCCTGTTTGTGAATTCATGTAGCCTTTTGTGTCTTCTCTCCTATGATGGAATCATAGAGACATAGGAACATAGGAATCTGTGATCCAAACAGGAGAGAAAGTCACATATTTTCTCATTGTCTAGCCAGTATTTTGCTTGTTCATTTGTCTACTTGTCACCTGCTTTGACGCTTGGGCACACTGAGCATCAAGCTTCCTTGTTATTTATTTATTTATAGCCTGGCTGTGTAATTTCAGGGGCAAACTAATAAAAGCCCCTCAGGTCAGAATCACAGCATATGGATACTGTCTTCACTAAAAGCCTGCAGGAGGCAAACAGTGAGGCTGGCACCAGCATTTCCAAATGCTGTATGTGAGGTACAGTCTGAGAAGTGAAAAGGGTATGGAGGCTTTTCATCACATCTTTCAAGTTTAAAGGGCTACACCTAAGCCATCCCCACTTTTTGTTTTGTCTTTTTGGTACTGGGGATTACACCCATGCTAGGCAAGTTCTCTAACACTGAGCTACACCCCTAATCCTACAGGTGTTTTGAAGAGGAAGTTTTATTAATAATGTGATATAGCGTCTTTTAAAAATATTTCTATATTGAGATATAATTCACATACCATGAAATTCTCCCTTTTTAAATATGTAGTTTAGCAGATTTTTACATATTCATAAGGCCAGGCAGCCATGTAACTATTATTTGATTCTACTACATTTTCATCACCCAAAAAGAAATCCTATCCCATCAGCATACACTGCCCACTCCTGTCTCCCTCCAGTCCTGCAACCACTAATTTACTTTCTCTATATATACACTCATCTGGTTTACATTTGATGTAAAAGGAATCATGCAATATGGGACCTTTTGTAATTGGTTTCTTTTGTGTAGCATAATGTTTTTTGGGTTCACTTATGCTATTGCACATATCAAAACTACATTCCTTTTTTTGTTTTTTTTTTTTTTGGTGGAGTGAGGTTTGAACCCAGGGCTTTGCATTTACAAAGCAGACACTCTACCACTTAAGCCACATCTCTAGTCCATTTTGCTTTGATTATTTTTAGAGGTGGGGCTCCAACTAATTTGCCTGGGCTGGCCTCGAACTGTGTTCCTCCTGATCTCAACCTCCAAAGTACCTAGAATTATAGGCATGCCTTTTTGTGGCTGTTAATTATTCATCAGTTGACAGGCATGTAGTTGTTTCTACTTTTTGGATACAGTGAGTAATACTGCTGTAAATATTCTTGTACAGGTTTTGTATGGACATGCTTTTCTCTTGGATATATACCTAGAGTGGATTGCTGGTGTATAAGCATTTTTATGTGCATACTAACAAGGACAGTATGGGGTATTTGGCCCAACCCTCATCAGTGCAGAAATTGAAATGAGAATTTTTATTACAGAGCATTTTCTGTGTGCCTCACTATTCCATTTCCTTTTCTTTTTACTAACCAGGACAGGTAGCTGACAATGCCCACTGTTCTGTTTCACCAGCTTCTGCTTTTGCAATTGCCACAGCTGCAGCAGGACACGGGAGCCCACCAGGTGAGTCTACCAGCTGAATATAGACACATGGCAAATTATATTAAACCAGTGGCCCTTCACTGTCACCGTCTTGATAATTCTGGGAGCTTCTCAGCACCTACTCTGAGTCTGTGTATGCTCCTCTTTGAAATAAGCACCTTCCAAAATCCTGGTTTTTTGCAACATTGTGAATGAACCTAGGGGACATTGAAATAAACCAGGCATAGAAAGATAACTACTGTAAGATCTCACTTATTTCTGGAATCTAAAAACGTTGAACTCTTAGAAGTAGAGAGTAGAGAGAGTCCAACAGAAAGATCCAGTTAGACAGAAAGAATACGTTCTGGATATCTCCTGGACAGCATAGTAACTATAGGTAAAAATGGTGTATAGTGTAGTTAAAAATTGCTGAGAGTAGATTTTAAATGTTCTTACCACAAAAAATAAGTGAGTGATAGATGGCTTGGTTTAATCATTCCACAATGTGCACATTTATGAAAGCATCGGTTGTATCTATAAACATACAAAATGAAAATAAAATAAATAAACAAATAAAAAGTAACTGCCAGTGAGTTCCCACAGGTGATCTGTGGGTCACACTTTTGAGAAACTGAAAAGAACATGTAACTCTCCTGCTTTATGTCATTCTTCAGCCAAGTGACTGAACACATTTCCACTGATTGAGTCTGGAGTGACCATGTGCAGGGTAGGGAGGGCCTGGGAGTGGGGAGCTATTGCTTCACCTGCCTTGTCATTCATTTCCACTAGGTCCACAATTCCTTCTGAGTTGCTGTCAATTTTCAGTGTAAAGAGTACTTAAGGTGAAGATTATATTCATTATCTCTGTCCTCTTCTCTCACAGGCAAGGCGGACATTATGTTAAAGTAAATCTGTAATTGGTTTAAACAGACCCAGTGCTGTGTCTTTCCCTGGACTTACCTGATGGGATCCAATTGTGATTTGCAGAACCATGAGACATGGTGTATTTTGTTCACTTGCCATGTTTACTCTTACCATGAAGGATTCCTTTTCCAAGGCTTATGAACCTGTATTTACAATAGTAACTAGTAGATACTACCTGTGTGACTTCTTTCTAAATTGAAGAACAGTGATGTCCATAATAAACATGAACTACATATATATTATTTTATATATTCCATCTAAATGGAAATTTTGCAGGTTTTCTGCATTGCACTTCCTTAGCATTTTGCCACACACACTTCATTGGCATAGTCAGGCAAGTTGGGGTTTTCTTTGTCCCAAATATCTTTCAAACCATCCCCCAAAGTCCCCTCAGCATAACACAAAACAGCCTAAAATGGTCGTATCTTATCAATTCAGTTGACTTCCAGTATTAGTTGCATTCTGTAATAATAAACTTCTTTTGATAAAAAAGTAAGGAAGTCTTTACTATGTGTCCAGCAGAACTACTTGTCAATTTTGTGGTTTTCAAAGACTTTTTCCCACCATATTCCATTCTCACAAGCTAGTCTGTCTTTGGAAAAAAGGAATTTCAAATATGGTTGCAAGAGAAAATAGTTTTGGGTTTAGTTCAGGATGAACCCACTTCCCTGTTTATTGGAACCTAAGTGATAAAGGTCTCTTTTCATTGAGATGGCTATGGAGATGGCCATCCTGAGCTTTGGAGAATGGCTTTCTGCTTTGTCTTGTCTGTGCATAATTGTACTAGAAGGAAAAAGTAACTAAAGCAGCCAGGTCTTCTTCACCTTATAAACACCTGCTGCTTCTGCTACCTTTGGTCCTCTTTCTCCCCTGCAGCCGGAGTGGTCTTAGAAAGGTATTCTTCAGTGAACCCACTGACTGGCCCTTCTTAAGGAGGCCACCTAAACTTGCTAAAAGACCTTAGCCAGCATGGCTTGGTGTAGGGCAGCCTGAATCTGGGTGAACAGCCTGCTCTGTTATTACAGAGTGGTGATGCTGTCATGTGGTCTGGAACCACATGACTTGATTTATCAGTACAGGCAATTGCACTTGTCAGTGCCCAGGACCCTGCTGGAAGGGCAGCAAGTTGCCCAGGGGTCAGATTCTACCACAAATAGAAGTTAGAAAGGAGGCATCCTTTGCAATGAGGACCAGTATATTCCTGGGGCTCAGACATCGGTGGAGCTGGCTCCATGGGGGATTTCACCTGTCTGAGAGAACTGGGCTGAAGAACTCTATTTCAATGGTCACTGAAGAAAGTGGACTCAGAGCAGAAAGCAGGAAGTGCTAGGAAGAGGGCCTGGTCTTTCTGGCTGTCCAGAGTGAGCATGATGTTACCCAGGAGTGGGCTAGACCCAGATACCCTGGACAGGTGTTCCAAGGAAGGGAGCACTAGATAGCAGTGATACCTTCCCAAATAGATATCGTATCTACTCTGAATCAGGAATTTCTGAGCCAAGTGCACCCTAGAACCTGGAGGGATGCAAAGGCAAGCAAGAGGAAAGTTAGTGTAAACACCCGATGCTTTCAGCAGCCTCTGCAGGCTTGCTGTCTGCTGGCTTGGTATACATCTGGTAGGTCTGCTCTGCTGTGTCCCAGCACAGTGCAGGAAACAGGGCACCTCCTGGCCATGCCACAGGACTGCAGAGTGGGTTTCTAGGTTTCACGCTTCTCTACAGATTCCTCCTATTTTCGTCCTCTCTACCCTGCCCTCCATCCTACCTCCATCAAAGTACAGAGGAATCTGGCACGCTGGCTTGTAACTTGCAATTAATGACTACTTTCAAACACTCACTCCAGATATTTGTATGTTTAGCTATTTCTGTTTCATTATTGCTTGGAAGAGTTTCTTATAGCAATAAAAGAAATTTCAAATTTAGCAAGAGGGTGGATAGAAAATTTTCTTTAAGGCTCCTTTCTGATCCTTCCTGATCCTGAGTCTGGGGAAACTGATTTTATTTGTAGATGGCAACTCTGTTTATTTGTGGATCTGCTCAGTATGTCCTGCTCTGTTGCCAGAAGCAACTTTTTACACACTGGAAAATTCTAGGTTTTTTCTTACTGTTTTCATATTTGTTTATTTGTTTGTTTGTTTATTGATAGCCCTGGGGTTTGAACTCAGGGTCTTATGCTTACTAGGCAGATGCTTTTACTGCTCGCAGATGCTTTTACTGCTCAAGTTACTCTGCCAGCCCTCGGGTTTTTTTTTTTTTTAAGATATAGCCCTACCTTTTCCAAAACTTTTCCTTCCATATCATGCCCTCTTTGCTCATCTGAGTCCACCTTTCCCATCCAGACAACACACATCCTGTCCCCTGTTGCTCAAAACTCAGATCGTATGCTTTCTTTGAATGTGGCAAGATTCCAGGAGATTTATATGGATTTTTATGTAGAAGCACAGTCAAGGATTGTGGCTTATGTTTCCCATATTACTGTTTCCTCTGTTGTGTTTGACAAAGGTACACATCATCAGAATCCATCTGTAGCAGAAGTGCTACTAACATTCATGTTTCCTCATTTATTTAAACTCCCTACATACGCTTTCTATCTCTGCTTTATTTTTTCCTCACTACTTACCAGTATTTGATCTTGGCATATTATATATTTTACAAGGACAAGGACTTTTGTTTATTTTACATACTACAATATCCCCAATATCTAGAATAATATTGTACATGTAGTCAATGATTGATAAATGTTTGTCAAATGAATTAATGAATCCCAATGAATAAATCCTAATATCTGCAATAAAGTAGATGCAGGGCAGAAATCAGAAAAACCTATACCTGCCTATGTATTTATGGTGTAGTAGTGTTTTGAATTCTTGGATATTGATGTTATTTTTGCTGTTTGTTCTAGGATAAAAGGATTTGTCTATTTCTCCAAATGATTGGGGGAAGTAATATCAGTTACTACAAGTCAGCAAGCATCTTCTGCGTGTCTCTTGTGCTTAGTCCCACTTTTCTAGGGACCCATAGCCCTGAGCTGAGCATGTGATGGGCTCCTAAATAAAATTTCCTGACTTGGTCTTGAGGTGATTTAAGACTTTCCCTCATACTTATGATTGGCAAGTCCTTGAGACATGCCAGGGCTGAGGCCAGGATCCTGTGAAAGTGTGGTGACAGTCTGAAGACCATCCAGAACCATGCTGCTAAAGTGCATTCTGTGTAGGTACTAAGAACTGGTTTCATGTTGCAAACATACCCACCAACCAGGCATTTCTTCCTCTCCAATAGAGGTACCATCGCTGATCTACAGGTTATAGTAGGCCCAGTTACAGATGGATCCAGAATTTGTGGATCTGATTCTTACACAATTTGGGGAGGCCCACCTGGAGAAAAAGAATATGAAAGTACAGATATAAATCTTTCGGGCATCTCCAGGGCTTTGGAACAGGATCATGTAAATGAGAGGCCCTGAAGCTTAAGCATCAAGGGCTTTCTGGTAAATTTGCTTATGAGGCTTTTCAGCAAGCAATAGTTTGCATGGGGTAAAATCCCCCAAAGTTATGTTCAAGGCTTAGTCCACAGGGTGGTGCTATTCGGAGGTAGGCCTTATGGGAGGTCCTCAGGTCTTCAGAGGCATATCCTCAAAAGGGATTGTGGGACCCTACCAATCCTTTTCAGGTGCTTTTTGGCTCATGATGTAAGCAATTTTCTCTGCCATGCACTCACTGTCATTGCCATTAGATACCTTACCAGACGCCCAAAGTGATGAAGAAGCCCAACCTTAAGCTGAAACCTCTAGAGCCATGAGCTAAATAAACTTTTTCTGATCATAAGTTAATTGCCTCAGGTACTTCATTATAGTTAACAAAGCTGACTAATACAGAATCCAACAGATAATTCTTGGAATCACATTACAGGAAATTTTGTATGTTGGAGAATGGAGGTGGGAATATGGATGATCATCAGACAGTAATTAGCCATTTTTCTTTCAAGTTAGTCCAAAGTTTGGTGGTGTAGTGAAAGACAGCAGCAAATGCCCTAAGTTAAAAATGTATAGTTGGGCTGGAGGTATGGCTCAAGCAGTAGACTGCCTACCTTCCAAGTAGTAGCCCCTGAGTTCAAAACCCAGTA